CAGAGCTAGCTGAAGCTACCAAGCTAAGCTAACATGCTCCCCATCTGCACGCTGCCGTCGCATTTTACGTTTCTAAGGTAAGCGGACATGAAACTATTCAGCAAAACTATAAATAATAATCTAAGTTATTGAGTTTTAACATAATACTTCAGAATCTTAAAACCCCTTAACGTTTGTATGCAATTGTGCTAAATTCAACACTGGAATCAAGCAAATATTAATATGTTTGCATGACATTAGTTATTTATATTTTGATATCACTTAACTATACGTTTAATACATTTAAGTCAAGCTAAGGTACATGTGATGGTAGCTAGTTAGTGCTCTTACCTGTGAGGCCTCCTCCAAACAGCATAATAACCAGACTGTATCATTAAAACTAAGTACCAGTTCTAGATCCTTGACTTTAGACAAACAATTCAAAAGACCAAATGTATTTAAAGACCAATCTTCATTTGAATGTGCCTCTTAACCTGAGATATTAGTTATACAGTAATAGTATTGACAATCTAAAAAAACTGAACAACTCAACAGTCAACTTTATATTTCTTATTGTCTAAAGCATTTATTATTTTCATTTTCTCCCTCTCATATTCAGTGTGGACGGATTGAGAAAGCGTGGTGTCCAGAGAGCAGCAGAGACTTCAGGGAGAAACCTCCGTGTGATGGACGTCCTGTCTGTTGGTTTGGAGAGGACTGAGGGTCTTTCCTCTGCGAGGAGGACCAGGGCTGATGAAGGAGCCCATGCTGGGCAAAGCTGATACCAACTGCACAGGCCTAGTCGGTCACTTTATTTGACTAAATGTGTTTAATACATTTAATAGGTTTACACCTTCTGTCCATATGTGCTTTTTATTTAAAACATTTGATTAACTTTTGGTTCACATTTCAATAAATTGTATTTTGCACTCCTTTTGTCCATTAATCTTACTGAAAATGTTAGATTACACATTCACATCTGACTGAAGATTGGCCCCATTTATTTGTGATGTTGCAAAACAAGGTACATGTTGTGAAGCTCATAAAGTGAGGCAAATAGAAATAATCAGCTGATGGAGTTTAGATGTGGAAATAGCTGCATTCGATCAGCTGACAATAAAAGTAGTTTCTTAGTGAATGTCCTGTACTGGTCTTAAAATCTCATAACATCAGCTTTTAATGTTCCTCTTGGATGTTCTTCTTGACCCTCAGAGAAGGAGAAAATGTGGTGTCTTTCAGGCATGTCCTTTCCTAACAAAAATGACAGGAAACATAAAACATATTATTGCAGAACAAGTGTGTTATTTATGAAAGCGGTGTGTTTGTGTGTTTAGGGGCTGTAGATATAATTATTTTGTAATTGTAATGTTTTTTTTTATTTCAACAATGAGCTACAAAGACAATCAGATTATGAATGAACAGTATGAAGTTCATCAACATTGAAATATATGTTATTATCAAAATAATATTTAACTGTTATCAAAACGTAGTGCAACTGTAGAAGCTTGCGCTGTTGTCTCACTGAAAGAATAACTTTTACCACGTTTTTTACAGACAATATTGAGAGATAAATAGTAGCAGTTCTCACTATGTGTTAAATATCTTTGCCTTCAATACATTAAATTAGAAAGCTGACAGTCATATTGCTTGTTATCATCTAAATGTAACTTTTTGCATGGAAAAAACCCTCAACTTAACTGATGTGTAGGTGATCTAGTATTTAGTATTGTTTAATGGAATGTATATCAGTGTATTCAAGTCAATACTTCATTCATTTAAACCAATATCTTTCTTGATTCTTTGTACAGTATGAAAAAAGAGTCTTTGTACCTGTGCTGAAGTTCAATGCTGTGAGGAGTCCAGTTCTGTCTCTCACTCTCTGGTCCAGCCTGTCTGCATCACCTGGACACCTTAAACAAACAGATATATATATATATGTAAAGTACCATGTGTACAAACAATATAACTGATTCTCTTCTGTTGAACATGTTGGATTGTGTATTGTCCGAGTCAGGGTCCTTTTTATTTTACTGTAACTTTGGAAGTTGTGTTACCAATGCTTACTGTTTATTTGATACCCATTTGGTAATGCAATTAATAAAAACAACAAGGTTTGGGTTCGTTCTTCAGATGACTGTGACGTTAACGTGTAAGCTCAATAATGAACTCCAGCTCAACCAACCATATTGTAATATCTAAGTAATCATCTTGAAATATGACATTAATAATTGTAATATACACACATCTTATTGTGAGGTTGATTTCACATACACTACTTCGACATTAGCTTGTCTACATACTTGAGCATAGCCAATTTAAATTAACCTGAGATGCATACAGTTCTACCTACATAATAAAATATCTCTAAGTTACAAGGATGTAAACTTATTTTATCAACCTCAAACAGAAGCCGTTTGTTCAACAGTATTATCCCACTTAACACTTGTCGTTTAACCTTTATATATACAGTCTATGATTTTAACTTGGAGGCTACGATTACAATCGTTAGCACCGATGTAGCTACCACTAGCTTACATGCTAACTCAAGCCTTACCATTCATTACGTAGCTGATTAAAATCATTAACACATAAATAAAGCACTCGAATTTCACTTACCGCATTCATGCACCGTCTGTTTTAACCGCAGAGCGAGTCACAATAGTCCGATATATAAGCATGAAGAACAAACAACCACGGAACAAACACAAGTTGTGTTTCCTGGATGAGCTGAGCAGGCAGAGTCCCTGTAGCTAGCTTCACGGAGCAGCTAGCAGAGAGACAAGAAGCTAACAGCGGCAGGCACTTGACAGAGCCGTCACTCAATGTGACCGCGCCCTAATTTATGCACAAACTTTAAGACCTAATATAAATAAAAGGGTCACGTTAGAAAACAATTCACTCACAGATCCATAATCATGAAGGTGGAATCTAACTATATCGATAATAAAAATGTATGGATCCAGGGGTAGAAACATGTTTTTTTCTGCTGTAAAGTTGGGCATTTTAACATGGGGGTCTATGGAAATTGCTCCTTTCTGTAGCCATCGCCTATCGGCCAATATATGAACTGCAGTGTGTGGCACTTCCGTATTGGCTTCCCGGCTCTACCCCACAATTTGCCGCTTGAATGAAACCCATCGACGGCACACTGTTCAAAACAGTGTGCCGTCGATGGGTTAATGGTATCTCCATTACTCTCTCCTCTCTCTCGCTCTTCTCTTTTCTCTCTTCTCTGGGGAGAGGTAGAATAGAAGAGGAGCTAGAGATCGGATAGCTAGATGATAGAGCTAGGCGATCTCTATATTCTCTCTCGATGCTATCTCTCTCTATCTCTCTATATCTCTCTCTCTCTCTCTCTCTCTATCTATCGCTCTTCTCTCTCTCTCTCTCTCTCTCTCTCTCTCTCTCTCTCAATTTTGGTGCGCAAATGCGCCTTTTTTCAAATGACCCGGTGCTCTTTTTTTGGCGGAGGTGCGCATGCGCACCTGCGCACCAGTTATGTGCAGCCCTGGTTATGGATGTTGTTTCTAAGTTCAGGTGTTTAATAGTCTTATTGCCTGTGGGATGAAGCTGTCCCTGAGTCTGGTGGTTTTAGTCTGGATGCTGCGGTACCGCCTGCCAGACGGCAGCAGACAGAACAGTTTGTGGCTGGGGTGATGGGGGTCTTTTATAATCCTGAGGGCTTTCTTTAAGGTTAACGTGGTATTTTTACTACATTTATTTTAGTTACTTTACAGATTTGGATTAATGATGTGAAATATAAACAACCCTTAAATCAGACTTTAGTTACACCTGAGTACAATTCAGCAGTGGCGGTTCTAGACCAATTTGACTGGGGGGGCCAGTTATTTTCTGAGGGGGGCACAATAAATGCTGGACGAAAAAGAGAACTAGACAGTATGAAGTAATTGCGCATAAGAAAACAATGCAATACAGTTATTGGTATTTGTTTCAGTACACTTATTTATTTCAGATAGATCTTATAGTTATTACTGTTAGCTTCAGCTTAAGTTATGTTTGCACTAACACCATATTTATATAAAAATAAAGGCAATGAACAGTTACATCTCTACTTTACATAAGGGTGTCTGCACAATCTCACATTACAGCAACAAAATCCTGCGGTTTTTGGCAAACCGAGTATCAGAAAATATACATTTAAAAAAAACAAAAAACTTTTCATTGTTAGGGGGGCTTTTTTGCTAAATCTCTCTAAAAAGGTCAAATTTAACTTGTTTTGCATCAATCTTGATACAGGGTACTTATTATATGTTGTAGTTTGGATTCCTAAAGCTTTTAGTCTACCATCCCATCATTCAGGGGCGTTTTTTTTTGGACGGACACAATCTTTTCATTGTTAGGGGGGCTTTTTTGATAAATCTCTCTAAAAAGGTCAAATTTAACTTGTTTTGCATCAATCTTGATACAGGGTACTTATTATATGTTGTAGTTTGGATTCCTAAAGCTTTTAGTCTACCATCCCATCATTCAGGGGCGTTTTTTTTTGGACGGACACAATCATATACATTTTTTTACTGTGTTCAATCTGAATGTACTTTAAAATAAAAACATCTATATTGATTCTGACACTTCTACATCCAACTCACAGGTTTATCATTACTTTGAGAAAAAAGATTATTAATTTAACCCTTAATTTAAGGCTCGGGGCTTAAGGCTCTCTACATAATTAAAATTGGGCAAAGGGTCAATTATTTTATTATCATGATGCATTTAGACTTGGTCTAAGAGATTTTGGCAAGAAACTTGCATAAATGATGTTTGTTTTCCCAACAATATAAACATATATGACAAGGAATTATAACCTATTTCACTTTCTAACAAAAATACATGAAAACAGTGAGGAAAGACTGTATTTTAGAGTACTTGGGATTTTTTGTTTATTTGTTTACCGTGGTATAACATGTATAATAAGAATCGTGGATGTTCACTTGTATTTTTATAAACTACAACATTTCTGATATTGAGACCTCCGTAGTTACAAGTGTCTGTTGCCCATGCAGGAAAGGGTCAGCGGAGGAGCTTCCTTTCCCAGATGGCTCTGTGGACTTGCTGACTGCAGCATCAGCAGCCCACTGGTTTGATCAGTCCAGGTTCCTGGCTGAGGCATGTCGGGTTTTAAAACCAGGTGGTTGTGTTGCTCTTCTGGGCTACAGTTGCGCTTTCCCCAGACTTCACTACCAGGACTGTGGAGAGAGACTCGACCACATATGTGAAGAGGTGGGTGTGTAGACTCTACTTCCATGGGCATTGCACAGCTTTGAGTGGCCGTATCACCAATAAGAAAGGCCAGAGCTGATAGAAGACAGTAAAGGCTTGAAGCAGGGGGATACATATGGCTCTACCAAACATAATATGTTTTATTATGCTTACTCTAAAAAAGAAAAATAAGCCGGGGCACAGAACTTGTTGTTGATGTTGCCAGGTTTAGTACCATCACAAATCTGGCAACCTGCGCAAAATAGCCAAAGATGTTGCACAGTATTATGTAGATCCATGTTTCATTGTTGGTCAAGAAATACTAGTTTTGCCACTTAACTCCCCCTATGACCAATGAAGTAAACAAACAAAACACAGCATACATGATGTGCTTTATGTGTGTTTGTGACGCATTTTTTGAAATATTGGACTGAGACGTCCAAGCAATTTCCAAATTTGCCCAGTCTTAATGGTTAACTAAGCTATATCCAGCCCTGCACTTAAGCATAGTTTGGATGTTTGGAAGAGGGTTAGTATGAGGTTCTTTCCCATAGTGTGCTATCTTAGTACATTGGGGTTGGCAAAATAACACACAGGAGTAATGACTAGCTAACCAATGTACCGCCATCGACTGGGCCAGCAGCAAAAGGTATTTTAGCCATGCGAATAAATCAATTTCAGTTTAAGTGCATGCTATATTTACAATATTTTCCCCAGTTTTCAATGCCCTCAGACAGCCATCTCAGCCATTTCTCTCTTCATAGCCGTCCGACTCTTTCAAAACAACTGTCATTTTTACCTCGCAGAACACAGGAGTTGCTGGTCTACCCCTGCACCAAAATCAATAACAGAAAAAAAGTAACCGATCAAGGCGGTGGTAGACCAGCATCCCCCTTTGTTAAAATAAAACGTATTTTTCTTACTGTAACCTTACCTCTACAACACAACTTCAAATCTTACACATTTACTTGTTACATTTACAGGTGAGGCAGGTACTGTTGCCATACACTAGCAATCAAGTAGCTGTGGCTTTGGGCAAGCTGGAAGAGCTCTACTCAGCCATCCCTTTTCCCGACAAAGAAAGGTAAATAACAACAAAGATCTAAACAAACCTATGAGATTTGACAGATACAGTATTACATTGTCATCAAAAACATGCAATAACTAAGTGGTTCGGAGCTGAAATCCCGATTTATTCCTTAAATCAGAAATACGCTTACTTTTGCGGTCTTGAATTAATGATAATTTCATAGTAAAATTAGGTCAAAGATGTTTTTCACGCGACAGCATTTTTTAATTGTCTTAATATACATTATATAATGATACAACAGGGTTGAGGGCCTTCAGGTGAACTCGTCGACCTCTGTGAGGAACCTGATGGGTTTCATTGAGTCACTTTCCAGTTTCCAAGCTTACAAGAAGAAAGATCCCCAGACGGCTGAAAACCTGCAGCTTCATACTCAGAACAGGTCTTCTATCCATACACACACATGCATCGTAAATGTCTGTTATTGTAATGTTATGACTAATCACTGACTTGCACTGATTCACAGGTTTCTGGAGGAGATGGGAGTCATGTCTCCTGACATGGAAATGAAGCAGGAACTGGAATATTTCTGTGTCCTGGCATCAAAACCACTATAATCAACCATGTGGCATTGGATTTGTGTTGATTCACAAATAGTTTGTGATCCTTAGATGTTAACATTTACAACTTATGAACTATAAGATGTTACTCATTGATGGAGGGATTTGTTAAATGTAGATATTTCTAAATAAAAAATGTTTTCCCTCAAGTTCAACTCATTGACCGTCTTGTGTAATGCATGTGGATAATCTTTGACCAGAGTTAGAATATCATCTTTTACACAATGTTTAGACCAGTTTACAGATGATTTATTAAATACTTTATAGACTAAACATCTACTGTCTCTTTCTAGTCTTGAAGTTTTGCTTTTGCAGTGTAACTTCCTTTCAATTTGTTTCCCTTTAGAGCAGCCGAACCATGAGAGGTTACATAACTGGATATTATTTTTGAAACAACCTACCTTTATTATTTCACAAAAGGGGTGCTTTGGTTCAATTGAGAAGTGACGTTTTTTAGCCAAGGTTCTTTACTTACTTGAATGGCATCTTTGCCTTTTCTTTATTCTTTCTCTTTTTTTATGGGTAGAAGGCAGCTCGTTGCTTGGCAGAGTTTATGATGTACCTGCTTTGTACACTGTAAGGAAATCAAAGTAGCCATTCACAGCACAGCTTCTTACAAAGAAAGAGAAGGCCAACCCATCTGTACTGTAATAAAAAAAATGCCTAATGTTGAAAATGTTACTCTATTTTAAGGATTTTGTGGCAGAAACCTAATACACTTTGATCAATTTTGACATGTGCTTTTTGGAATAGTCTGCATAAGAGTTGTGTTTTGGAAGTAAAATAGAAAGATCCAACTAATTATCAGGATTATTGGTTTAATGCTGGTTAATTTGTTGGTGTTATTGTATAGTATTGAAACACAAGTGAGCAATAAAATGTCTTGTTCAACCCAAAACAATCTCATATTCAGCTTTCAAGATTGTGTAGTGATGAAAGTTGCACAAAAGTATATTGGAAAATGAATGGAATGACTGTTAAACTTAAGCTATTCTCACAAAAAAAAAATCTTCATGATGCAATCAAAGCTTTGGATTGTATGTGGTGTCCATTTGAAACTAATGCAACCAATGAACACTTACTAACCGTTAAGTATGATCAATTAAAATCACAATGGTAAGGTGGCTTACTTTTTATATGATTGGCCAATAAAACCATTGTTAACATTTTTTTATTTACACTTAAATGCATTGCCTTTTACACCAGGAAATGGACTAAACCAAATTCTGCTGCTCCCTGCCTATGTTTTACAGTTCTACAGCACGGAGAATGAATAACAAGCACCCCTAGTTAAAGAGTACCATTGTGTTGAATAGCCAACAGATTCAGAAAGAGGAGAGTTCCACGCAGGATGTCGTTATAACAACATTCTTGTACACATTCCATTGGTACCCCACCCCCATCCTCTCCATATGGTTCCCATTGGTTCTGACAGAAAATCACATAAGCTGACCCAATTACTCAAACAGACCTTTGAGCTTGACAGCTTGACGTTGATTTCCATTCAACGTAATTTTCATGGATTACTCTCGAAACACAGCATTGTCTAAAAAAGTTAGAAACCAGAGCATGTAAAAGAGTTTGGTGCTGTCCCTTTAAAGGCCTTCATTAACAAACAAACAAACCAAGAGGCCTTTCAGTTGTGGGCCGTCCCTTTTCCCATGGAGCTCCCCTGTTGAATTATTCTGCTTTCTGGGTTAGTGTGTGTGTGTGTCTGTGAAATCCATGTATCTACCGTTCATTTGTTTTTCTTTATTAAACACGTAAACGGAAGAGCGTCTGAGAGGCGTTTTTGCTTTTTGCTTTTTACCTTACTAAATGGTCAAATGGTCCTTGGAGCGAGGGGCTGGGCGAAACTCACGGAAGTGATTTCAAAACAAAAGCACTCGTTTGCTAAAATCACATTTGAATCACTGCAGTATCCTGCTGAAGGACCGGTGATTATTATAAACAAGGGGAATTAAGCAATCACAACGAAAACGGCCAAAACACATATTGAGCCCAGAAAATGGATCTTATTAAGTGTTGTAAATATAATAAGCCTATGTCTAAAATGGACAACATTGCACGGCGGTCACCTCCGCCGTCTCTCGAGTTTGTTTTTTCAAATCAGCTGCTCTTCATTATTCCTGCTATATTTGACGAGTGATACAAATATTTGTTACCACAAGTTCTTAAGAAAACTGATGGTCCGCGGACCACACTTTGAGAAGCACTGAGGCCAATTGTGTCGGAAATAGGTTCATTTCTCGAAGCTTCAGTTACAGCGACCTCTCCTGGCGAAGTGCAAGGCTGCAGTGGGTTTAACGTATCTTTGCCTTGAAAAATATTCGATGCACACACACACAAAGACTGAATATCATGTTCTATTTGCAATTAAAGATTGATAATTGTGTGTATTGGGTTATTGAGAAGAGACTAGAGAGTGCTAGACATGTTTTTGGGCGGAGAGGGCCTTTTATCAGTTATTAAAGTTGAAAAGCAATGATTAAAATACTTACTTATAATGGTCTTTTTGTTCACAACTTCTCCACATTTCGAAGTGTTTCCCGAGCCAGAACGACCTATCTTACTTCCTGGCTTGCTCTATAATGATATCAAATGCAATAACAACAACAACTCAACAGCAACAACGCAAACTACGACAACAACCCACACATTGCGCATTGTTTAGAGCGGTCATAAAGTGTTGAAGCACTCAAGTTTGAAACTGTTTCAACCTGTCACCTGTCAGAATCGAGACGAGGCAGTGCATTGAATCGCGTGAATGGACCGTGAACCAGTCCAAGTGATTCATTCAGGAAATGAAGCAGTTGCTGCTTCTGACGTCACATGTCACGTGATTTGAAGCAGTTGCTGCTTCGGACGTCATATGTCACGTGATTTGAAGCAAGCTTCGAAGCACTGCTTCTATGGAATAGGAAGTCCAGGGTTGAAGCTCCGTTCGAAGCTTCAGTGTCAAACTGCCATCACTACCGGTTAGCTCCTTTTATACAATAAACAATCGAACATAGAATAGATTGCTCTCGTTTTTTAAAAATCTTATTCAGCTATTGACAGAGGCACCAACTTGCTATGACTTACCGTCTGTTTGAGGGCAAAGACCATGCTTCTTCCTATTGGAAGTTCAGGATCTCCCCATCAGATAAGCTCATACAACAGGTGCTTGACTTCCTGGAAAAGCATGTAAGTAGAAGTGGGGGGGGGGGGGGGGGAAATGGTGGTGATCATGGATGTGTAATTATTTTAACGTGCTAAATATCTCGTCAGAAAGGACATCCCTTTGAGCTGGCGGTGGATGTGGGTTGCGGATCAGGACAGGGCACCGTGCTGCTGGCCAAACACTTTGCCTCCATGGTGGCGACAGACGTTAGTCCTGCCCAGGTGGAAATGGCTCTACAGCATTCCAAAGAGCCAAACATCACCTACAAGTATGAACAAACCCACAGTCACAAATAAGCTTCTTTTTTTTAACTAGAGTCGGAGCATGCAAAGGAAATAAATTAAAGACATGCATGTATTCTGTAGGCAACTTTCAAATCGTATTCAATCCTTTTTTTTCTTGGGATATATTTGTTTTTCCTTGGCTAAAGAGTGTGAAATCAAGCAAGCCTAACGACTGTTTTAAATAAACACTACAAATAACAATACATGTTAATTTAGTTCAAACAAATCTGATAAGAAAAGTAGCTTATTGAATCTTCGTCAAAGAAAGAACAATGGGACCCTTGTCTGGTGAAAGTTGGTCATGCAGTAAGAAATACAATGTCCTATCAGCACCGAACTGTAAAGTACGAATGTTTGTGTATTTTATGATTTCATATTACACAGGGTTGGTTATAGAAGTGAGAAATCTTCAAAACCTTAAAAAATAAAATGGTGCTGTTCTCATGCTGTTGCACATCATATATATTTTAACTAAATAAAATACCATATTAAATCTCAAATTATTCAGCAATTACCAAAGCAATTTGAAATGTTACATCTTACATTTTGTTGCTGGGAATTGTACTGCTGCTATGCTTTTCTATAAGCAGTGAGTCCTTCGTACAAGTTTATAGATGCTGCAAGTACCTGTCAAAGTCCAAATAAGTAAACGTTCACCTTTATGAGGATGTATACAAACAAATCACAGTGCAGTTAACAAACCAGGCACTCACTGCACGTAAGTCATTGAAAAAGTATTGTATAAAATATAATATTGAAAAAAAGCTTCAAGAAACTTCATTTCAAAATGTTCTTTTTTTCAGTTGAGCAGGAGCTTACTGGCTAAAACTCTGTAGCAGTTGCTGATCTTGCTATCTTAAAGCGACAGTGCAAAGGATTTGGCAGCATCTATTGTTACAAATCACAATCAACTAAATACCCCTCTGCTCACATGTCCCTTTAAAATACTTTGGTGAAGCAAGCAGCAAACTGTGACAACACCGTGTATCTTTCAGGTCAGTCACCTCACTCAGAGGCCATTCTTACCATAGAACTACTTTAGAAGCAATGACATTCAGGAGGTGGTTATCCTTACTGAGTCATTTGATATTAAACTTGACAGTAAAAGTGTCACCAAAAAAAGCTAATATGAGACTCAAATGTGTTTTTGTATGGAAATCTACTAAATGTCTAAATACAAATACAACATTAAATGAGGATAACATTAATGATAGCCTATTTGTTACCCATTAATCTGTGTGTAATCACGTGAGCTAGCTAATGTTAAATCTCTGGGAACTCTTAAGCTATTCTGACATGTTATTTTTTTACAGCATAGTATTGAATGCACCAATAAAAAGTATGTTTATACAGTACATGGCGCTTTAGGACACCATACACATTATTGTAGTCCCAGTTTAATATCCAACTCCATTTTCTACATAATGTAGTAGGTAGTGTCTATTTCTTTAAGTCCAGGGTTCTTTGGCATGAAAGATGTTGAAATCCCCGGCACTGTATTCAAAGTTTAACTCGGCTGTTTATTCTTCAGACAGTGTGTTGCTGAGGAGCTGCCATTGGCTGACAGCTCAGTGGACTTGGTGACAGCCATGTCTGCCTTCCACTGGTTCGACCGGCCACGTTTCCTACAGGAGGCCCACAGAGTGCTGAAGCCCCGGGGCTGCATGGCTCTGCTCAACTACACCATGGATATGGAGCTCAGCTACCCTGATTGCTGCTCTCAGACACTCAACCAAATCTGCCAAGAGGTGCATTCACCTACTGTAATATAAGTGAAACTCCCTCAGCTACATTTAAGGCTGTTTAGCAATGAGGAACAGGTTTAATTTGTTACATTAACAATGGTTGTGTTGAAGTGTCCCAGTAAGCATGACAGATTACATGCACACAATATTATAGTTTGATCCCCTTTTAGATTGCCGATTTAGCAATTTAAAACCTGAATATCTCGAACCCTGCACAATCTACATTACAGCTTTGATGTCACCAAGGAAAGCACACATCATACAGCAGAACATCAAAACCAAGCTAACCTCAAATACCATAAGGAACCTTCAGTATTTACCTTTAGCATGATCTGAGCTTTATCGTAGCAATTTCAAGCCAAACCTATGTCTAATGTTAACCTTTTCTAAGGATGGGGCAGTCTTATCTTACTTTTAGACTAGCTGATACCCTCAGATTTTCAGGGACTGGAAGTAGTTATTTTGCAAAATACAAACCGTTTTAGTTTGGTTTTCACAATAAAATAAGATTGCAAGATATAATAATTTAAATGGATAACAAAAATCTGCATTCACCCTAACCCTAACTGCAAACAAACAAAAAATACCCCTTTTTTAACCCCCCTCTCAGCTTACAGGTTAACAGCCCCCAGCTTTTCTTCAGATGTACTCAGTGAATATTGAGTGAATACATAATCACACAACACTAAACTAATTAATCATCGTTACTGACAATATATTACCCTTGGCTCATCAACAACTGTTTGTGCCACAAGACCCCCGTGCTTCCTGTTCCTTCCTTTTAGTAAGCAAAATGTAGTTCCTCCAGACACAAGGAGAGGGCAGAGTTAGATAAACTATACTCAAATTCCTAGTTGACAATTTCCAAGTAGTTCCTTAAATTGAATTAAAGCCAATTAAATAATAATTTGCTTAAATGTTCAAACTTAAATAATAATAATAATATAATAGATTTATTTTGTTAGCGCTTTTACAGGTGCTCAAAGACGCTTTACAGATATAGTGAAAATAAAAGAACAACAAATAAATATAAGTTAAAGTCAAATAATATAAAAACAATCATACATTAAAAGCCAGATTGAAGAGGTGTGTTTTGTAAAGAGGCAGGTTTCAGTGTGGTGCAGCACAGTCAATAATACTGGAACTGTTAACACTAAGATTGAGATTGTTTTTTTCCCCAGAAAATTACAAAAGCACGAAAAACACATGACACGTTCACTAGTCTTCTCATTATAGTGGAGTTTCTGTCCAGAACCAATCAAGGCACCTTTTAAAAATGAACAACGACACCATCTAGTGGATCTTAATTTCACTCACTTAGGTTGCAAAAACAATGATGAGTGGATGGCAGACACCATTAAAGTGTCAAAGGTCCCATGTCATGCTTTTCCGGTTATTACCCGTCCCCTTGTGTGTTATGTAGCTTTTACTGCATGTAAACGGTCTGCAAAGTCACAAACCCTCAAAGCACCATCCTAGAAAATCACAATTTCTTGAGTTTTGACAGTTTTAAGTCTTTTAAAAGTACGTGTTTTTTTTATAAATGTTTACATGGACTGTCCCCCCCCCTCCCTAAGGGGAATTCATCCACAAAAAACACACTGGACGCTGCACTAGGTCAGAAACCAGAGGAGACTTTTGAAGTCCACCGTAGACGGACAACTTTTGGACAAAATGTCCTCTCCATTAAAGGCAGCTCATTGTAGAATAGCCTCCCAACTGAGATACGGGATTGTCCCACTCTCAATAGTTTAAAAGGTCAACTCAAGGAATGGTTGAGAAACAAACAGATGTGCAATCACCGCTCCAGGAGCTCCAACAAGGCGTGTAGGACCGAGAGTGAACATACTATACAGAGATGCTTTATGAAAAAAACAATGTGATTTTGGAACATTGAACAATGTAATGTAAATCTATTCTAGTAGACCTCAACAATGGAATTATGATCAGTAGAAATGGCCATGACATGGGACCTTTAAAACAAGTACAAGTATGCACACAAAGCTAGGTATTAAAGCTGTTTATAGCGTTAAATAGCTGAAGCAAACACATCTGTAAGACATGCTCTATTGATAGTGATGAAGAATCTCCTAACTTCCTCTCTCTTGGTTGTACCAGTTCTATGCGGCCTTGGTTCCTTACCGCAGTTCCCACCTTGGTTCCAATTCGATTGAATTGTACCGGGAGGCGTATAAATCCCTCCCTTACCCTGACAAGGAGTGGTAAGAGCTTCTTATAGTTGTTTTCTGCAAGTTTGGTTTACAATGGAAAATCATCTATGGTTGATATGGTACTGACTGTGTTGTTCCAAATTGTACTACAGGCATGAGTGTGTGCGAGTGAAAAGGTCCATGCCTCTTTCCAGCTTCATGGGGTTCGTGGAGTCTTTCTCCAGCTATCAGACTCTGGTGAGAGAAGACCTGCAGAAAGCCACCGCCCTGTCTCAGGACATCAGTCACAGGTACATGGCAAATTGTACTATACATACAGTCAAATGTACATATGTGTGCACATCACACATTTGACAATGCTCTGTGAAAAGTATTAGTAGCAGTCTTGGTGAGTTTATTTAGTCTGGAAAAGGTTAAGGGGGTCAAGTGTGAACATTTATTTGAGGTCTGACATTAACCTCTGAACTCAGCTATATGTGCCACTAATCATCTTTTGTATTTTAAAATTATAATAAGTTACTGAGTACACAGTTAATGACCATTTTGTAATTTAAATTGTGATTTTTTAAAATATTATTTCACAATTAAACATCGAAAATATTGCATATAATTACTAAACAGTGACAAAGCTCCAAACATTTGATGAATGCAAAGTAATCAAAACTCCATATATCATCATTAAAAAAACACAATTGACAACATTGGCAACCTGAGAGGATTAATTTACTCTTTTATAATTTGAGATGTAATTAAAAATGTCATTAAGTTAACATTGACAATGTTACAATAACAACAACAACAACAACAACAACAACAACAACAACAACAACAGTAGGCCCTGTTTTAAATGATAGTTACTTTTGTTATCTGACTTTGTAGTCCAGATAACATTACGTCTGTTGCTATCCAACCCTGATCATATATAGTACAGACTTATGATATAACAATTTGTATTTACATTTGTTTTATAGCTGAAGCCAACCATCATGTACTATCAACACATGACAAATATATTATGATTTCTTTAAAACGGTCATATTGGAGAGGTAAGGTTTTGACTTAACGATGACCCGCTGTCTCCTCAGGTTGATGTCCGTGATGAAGGTGTCCTCTGCAGAGACAGAGGTGGATGTGTCTGTGAGATATTACTGTCTCCTGGCCTGCAAACCAGAGGAAGCCTGACTGACTGCCAGTGGCGCCTCCAGACATTTTTCATAGGGGTGGCCAAATGGGGCCACTGAAAATCTTGGGGTGGCCCATCAAAACTAAGAATTTAATTGTTTTCAAAGTATAGACTAGATGAAAACAATGCCAAAGAGAATCACCTACTGATATACTTTGGTCTCTTATTTTACATTTTCTGATACTATTCATCTGAAGTGAATACGGATAGTTAACATTTGACTTCAAACAACATTTAATAGAACCTTGTTTTCTGTTATGTATACATGTGTTGGTGATTTATTGTTTTGTTTTTTATATATGCTAGTTGTTCTTTCCTTTTAAAAAGACAAATACAGCTTAATTAAAATAAGTTCCTTTATTGTAAGGCACAAAATGTTCAGCATTCTCAACACATACAATACACAAAGCAACACAACATGTTCTTCAGTTATATGTCTCTACGTTATAAATGATTTTAGACTGAACAAAGCTGTTTGTGTCACACTGGGATCAAAGATGATTGACATGACTTTATTAAATCAAGTTTTAAAATATGACTATTTTATTTCAACAGGACCCAAAAACACAAGGGGTATAAAATGTCAAATACATACTGTGATTGAACACAAAAACACCATCTATTATTGACCTTTATAGCAAGTTCAAAACATAAATGATACAAAACACCACCTGTATTAGACAGAAAATAGGTGACGAGACATATTTCTATTTTTTTTAGATTAGGCCACTCTGGTGAGAGTAATACATATAGCTTGTATTCCATTTGTTTTGAAAATGTATATTTATACTTTATAAACAAACTGGTTACCCTTTTTTTAATTAGCATGCAGAACATTATGAAAACAAACTTGACTAATGGTCGGCTCATAACCTCAGAACACAGAAGAGGAAAAACTGCATAGATTCTCGTTTCATTTTGAAGGAGCTACAGACCTAAAGTGTGTAGAAGACTTAAATGATTAAAAAGGTCACAATCACATTAATAAAACTGTACTTAGGTTTTAGTTTCACTTTTACAAAACAGAGTTCCACATGTACTTTCTAGCATGTATGGCCATCTCCTCACTAGCCCTATGCTGCGGCTCCCCTGCCAGCTCTGTCTCTCCTTTACTCATCTTGTTCTTAAAATAAGAAGAGATGTCTGTTGACTTTCTCTTCATTTTCTGCAAATTGACATTACACACATCAGTGATTAATAGTATGCCTACGCATTACACCAGCCCAGCATACCGACATCGGCTAACGTTAGCTTAGCTTAGCAAGCTAAACTAACGCTAACTAGGATAGCCGCCAAAGTGTGTTTACAGACAAATTATACCTGAAGTCAAGAGTGGTGCGAGCGAGTATCAGAGTGTTACCATGGTAGAAGAGGGAGAGGGAGGGGATGCAGTATGAGCGTTGGAAGCTCAAATCAAGCGGCTCGCTGGCTGTGTATTTGTTGTTAAATATCAGATAAACTACTGCACATACGTGACTGGCGAGGCGGTGTGTGTGGTGGGGGGGCCAACAAATATATCAGGGTGGCCATGGCCCCCCCTGCTGGCGCCACTGCTGACTGCTGCCAGCACTCACAGATTCAAAAACGAGTAACTTTGCTGTCAACTCCCCCTTTGTGAAACAATCCCCTCTGACATCTCTTTCGACTCCACTTCGAGCGTTAGAACTATTAACGAAGCACTTTTATACTAATAAAGGACTGGCTTACCTAAAGCCAGTTGAGTAGCACTTGAAATGTTTGGCTCTATGAAACCTGATGTACTTATATGATTCTGTTTTCTTCAAGGTTGTGTCTTCCTGGTCGAATGTACTTATTGTAAGTCGCTTTGGACAAAAGCGTCAGCTAAATGTAATGTAATGTAACATCTCTCTACAAGTGAATTAGATGTTACTAGCTTAAAGCTTGATCCGACTGTTTTGCCTACAAATGCCACTTCTTTAAAAGTAATAGTTTAACATTTTAGGATATATTCCTATTCATCTTATTGTTGGTAGCTAAATGAGAAAAAATGAATCCTACTCTTGTTAATTCATTCTAAATTAGAAGCTGGAAGAAGCGGCTATTTAGTTTAACTTAGCTTAGCTTAACCTAGCTTAGCACAAAGACTGGAAACAGGGAACAGCTAGCTTCGTGCTATTGTCGTTTTTACACTCCAGTTATTGTATTGTTAAAAAAACTGAGATAGAATGTGTCAAAATGTGATCTGAAAAGATTTTCTTTCAAATTGAAGTAAGCAAGGTGGGAGAAGTACTGATATATTTTACTTAAGTAAAAGTAGAAGCACCAGAGTGTAGTAATACTCTGTTAAAAGTCCTGCATTCAATATGTTGTTACTCAAGTAAAAATGAAGAAGTATTAGCATCTAAATGTACTTAAAAAAAAACAAAAGTAAAAGTAGTCATTGTGCAGATTGGCCCCTTTCCGAATAATATGTAGGCCTGTTTTGATTATAAAGTTCTTTACATTTCACATCATTAATTCAAATCTGCATAGTAACTAAAGATATTAAATAAATGTAGTGGAGTAAAAGTACCCAATTCACCTCTGAGTTGTAGAAGTAAAAAGTAGTATAACATAGAAATACTCAAGTATCTCAAAATTGTACTTAAGTACAGTACTTGAGTAAATGTAGCTACTTAGTTACTTCCCAAAAAAAGTGAGCAAGTTGCATGCTTTGTGATATGATGACGCCTGAGATTGTACTATTTTGCAACAGCGACCGTTTCATTGCAGATAAGGCAAACAGGTGTAGCCTTATTGAACGATGACATGATGAATGCGTATTTATCCGTCCATTCCTCATTAAAACTGCAGTTTTCCACGTCAACTTTACACTTGAGGCTCTTTGACAGTGATATTTTGCATGCCTGGCAAACAATTTTCGTATATCCTGCAACCGTTTCCCACCAATCAGGACAAGCTATTAATAAAAAAGTTGATTCCTTTCCCTGCCAATCAGGACTGCTTTCAGTTGTATTACCCCGGATACAGGCTTATTACAAAAAAAAAAATTGTTTCAATAAAGTGAACATATTAATCAATTATATATATAAATATATATATATTTATATATATATACATATATATATCATTTATTATGATTTATATATAAATATATATATATATAAATCTCTGGCCCCCGAAAGTGTCTCTTGGATTAATTTTGGCCCTTGGACAAATGTAGTTGGTGACCCCTGAAATACGGGCTGTCGGATTGAGAGGAAACAAAAGTGGGAGAGATTACAACAATAAAACAATAGATTGGGAAAACAATGGTTGTAGTACAAATAATCGACTATGCAATTAAAACTGATTAAAGTTTAACCAAGCTAAGCTGGTAAAAAGCTGCACATACTTACTCCTCAGTATATCTGCATCCGGCCATAATGTCAATTTGTTCACAACAGCTCTTTGTGTATATTATGTGAAAGCAGTAGCTACACTTCAATATGGTTCTGCTATGTGTAGTCATTGATTTTCACTGTGAACAAGGAAAGGCTGTTGTTTAAAATACCACTAGAGGGAGACATTCGATCAAAAGTGACGAGTTCAAGTAGTTTCATTACTTTTTTTAGCTATTAACTACTAAAACAACAAACAATGTTGAAACTTAGAAGGAAATTACTGTTGTTATTTTTAGATTATTTTTGCATTAACTGTAATTGACATGTGAAGTCGGTTTAAAATGGTGCGAGTCAATAATTTGTTTAAGGGCTTTTTTTTATTTCACTTTGGGTTATGTATGACCTGTGAATGTAGGCATGGTTTTAAAGAAACTCAATTGATGGTAATTTGTTTACTAACATCACTACCAGTTCATTGTCAATCTGTCAATAGTTAAACCTTTCATACTAGCTTTCTCAACACTGCATACAACAGATCAAATTATGCCCCACTGTATTCAGTTTATTTTCTATATACTACTGACACTGATATGTCCTGTTCAATATTTGACTGAAGAAAGGAAAGTCCAATGTGTCAGAGCTGAGAAGAAGTCTGCTTTCTGCTGCAGGCAAAAGTCTGTCCCAAAAAGACATGTTCATCTTGTCAGGCTTAAAGGTCTCGTCACAGCCTGGGCTTCTTTATGTTCAGTCTTAAATGTTCTTTCTTCAGGCTGTCCTTCAGATTTCTATAATTCTTGTCAATTATCTTCACACACCTTACTAAGGCTAGAAATCTGAGAGTTATCAAATTAATTACTGTGCTTTACCAAAAGTAATCTTTACGTGCATTTGAATAAACATTAGGCATAAACCTGAGCAGTCATATCTCAACCAACATACATTTAAAACAGAGAAAACTCCAGTATAGCAGAGTGATTTCTGTTACAATATTATTGTATCTGATCTTTGCCATATGGGAAGAAAAAAACGTGTTTTGAAAGTTTGTTGTGGCTTTAGTAACAGACCATCTCTCACGTTTTTTTTCTTCCAGTAGCTACTGTAGATCCGGTCATTTTTGTGACCGATTTCTTTTGCTTTTTTTTTTTATTCTCAGAGATTTTGTACTCACACTTTTGTCCATATAGTCTCACATGGCTCTACAGTTTCTCAGTGACAGCTATTCTCTTTCTCTATGACATTGCAGACTACCTGGATTGATTTACTTGCCTTATACGATATCTTTTTTTACACTACATTATATGTCCTATATAATCCTTCGATTCTTCCTTAGTCTCACAGTTTTGGTCATCAGTAGTGTTTGTGATGCGTGTCAGGCCTGTTGTTGTAGCATCCCCCTCTGATTGTGTGGAAATGCTCTCAGCAACATTTCCCCACCACTGGAAGATCTGCTCTGACAGAATCCTGCACTCTTTTTTCTTTATCCTCATTCTCACAAACAAAAAAAACATCCCAAATGCCCTCATCTGTGTTGGTCTGGTCTCTTTCCTAGGTTTTGAATCTTAGTCAGGGAGACATTTATTACAAACACGTTTTAGTGTTGGCAGTGCAGAAATGTTCAGCCATTAGTTGGACAATGCATAGCTTTTAGCATGACTTGAGGCCATGGACAGACATGGTCAGAGAACAATACCTGCATTTTGAGTTGGCTAGTTTGTCTGTTCTGCACAAGAGAAGCTTTTTTAATCTTTTAACATAGAGCTATTTGAATACCAGTCATACTATAACATTTTACCAAAGGTACGTGTATTTGAATGGTCATTGCTTTGGTAAAAAATACAGTATTATTGATCAAAACAGGTACATTCTTGGTTATAATGTTTACTTCTGTCTTAATTCATGCAGTGCATGTACTGTAGTCCCTCACTACTACCAACAATTCATTGATATTTTGTAATATGAATGGCCGTCCAGTTTGGGTGTTGTCTGTTTTTTCGTCTTAGAACTTTCACTCTTGACTGTCTTATTGAAGGTTTAGTTGTACATATACCCTCTTTCACTTTTATTTGAAAAAAAGAAAAGAAGGCGGCATCCAAAAACCAAAGTGAAGTTAATTCAAAAATATGTTTTGAGAACAGAAAAGTATTGTATGTACATGGTAGTTTTCACTAGAGGTTTAAATGGTGAATCAT